TAGAATCAGGGAGTATGAAGTTCTCTGCAGCTATGGAAAGTCACTGAATGACTAGGGCAGCTATTTTTCAGCCAATTTACCTTATAACATTGCTGTGGTGAAAAATGGGTGTTCTAACGGCCATTTTGAACTTCCAAAGAAAAGGCAAGACATAAATCTAGTAAGTGCTGTATTTTGTGGAAAGAGTAAAACATATAAAGATGGTCTAAACTTCCCAATGAAAGGCTGTTTTTTTTTTCTTTTCAATATTTACTTTGTGCCAGGGCCCTTTTTCTATTATCTGTTGCAGCCCTTGAATTAGGTTGAGCTGATCTCTTGGTCTATCAGAATCTTAACTCAAACCTGTCTATCAAATTACGTATAGTAATAGTACCATTAGTAAGAAAGGATAACATTTGATTGTAACATTCCCAAATTAGAAATCTGTTAGAAAATGTTTGATAAATGAGTATTTAACAACTATAGACAGCTTTAAATATATTGCTAATTGCTTTCTTATAAAATGATTGAGTTACATCATCAATTATTTCTTATGAAACATATGGATTTAATCTCCACTGAACTTTGCATTGTCACTTGGACAGGTGAGCTTGCACTTAGTCAAGGTGTTAGAGAAGAATCTGTGTGTCGTATGCTGATCTATCAAATCAAACACTTTCCTGTCCTTGTTAAGACACACCAAATCTTTCATTAATAAAGCCAGCTAGACTCCCAGATAATCAGAAGACTTTTCCCTGGCTGCTGTGATGGATGAATGTCTTTCAGTTTCCACTAGCAAAATGACTACTGGATGTAATTGTATTAAACTAAGTGCATTATTATTATTGTTATTGTTATTGTTATTATTATTATTTATAGAGTATTGTTTTAGAAAATGAAGAGCTTCCCAAGATGTTTCTAGATTTTCTCAACGTTCGTCATTTTCCTTCTCTCCCAAAAGCAGAAAGTTGTGGGTAAGAATTTTAACCAAACAGTTCAAAATACAACAAAATACAATAAATTTAAATTTCCCTTTATTAATTAAAATTTTATTCACAATTTGTCTCAAAAATGTCAGGCTATTTCCTCTATTGCACTTAAAGAAATTCTTCAGTGATTCTATTTTGCATATAAAACAAGAAAATTCTTATTTAATGTGTTTTTGGCATAACCATGCTGAGACAAAGAATTTGACTTATATCTAAGCATTTAATATAATTTTGCATTAGTCTGATTCAGTAATTGATCCAGGTTTAGAACCTCTGCTGACAATGCAAGTCCCTTCTTTAGAAAGCTTTCATTTATTTCAGTAGAAGGAGCTTATGTGTATCTATATTCTTTGGAAAAAAGACCATTTTACTGTACATACTAAAAATCCTTTGGGACATTTGAACATACATGACCTCTGAAATAGTAATGAAATGACACTAAAGAAATTAGGTGCGTAGGGTTAAACAGTCATTATCAAAAAATGGAAAACAGTTGGCATTAAAATAGAAATCATTTTAAAAATATTTACATTAGAATAATTTTAAAAATAATTTGGATAGCTGCTGGGATGTCTTTGGGGAAAGGATCATAAAAGTTCAGGTGGCATCCACAATATGCAATTGAGCCTCCTTTTTATGTGGATTTTGAACATCCTTGGACGGCTGGCTACAGGAAGGCATAAGGCTGTGCTAAAATCTGTTTTAAAGAGAGAAAGTTTCACCATTTCCTTTTTTGGAATATATATTTTAAATTTATATATTCTAATATTTTAACAAATTATATTCCAGTTCTTTTGAAGAAACAGAGTCTGAAGAATCAAGGTAAGACATTGGTTATGATATATTCTTAAGAAGTATTTTTATATGTATTATATAATTAATGTGAGATAATTAAGAAAAAGATCTGTGCATTGCAGTAGATATGAACATATACCCTTTTTATTTTTTATTTTTAACAAGCAGCGTGTTGACAAAGATTTTAGGAGCCGCTATTTTGTATTGTTCTTTTGAATTGAAAAGGATTTTAAACTGCTTATATTGAAGTTAATCAGACATTTAACATTGCATAGTTAAATGTACTCTTCCTCACAAAGATAATTTTGAAAGGGAGCTTAATAGGATATTTTAAAGAGCATTTATATGTTACAACCTCATTGTGTTGATATTGGCTCTTATCTGTCAGCTTCTTTATCTTATGTGAATTAATAGTTTTGCATTACAATTAGATTTCCTTTTTCCATATTTCCTCTGTAGGCATTACTGAACCAGAAAAACCTAGACTTCCCTATATGCTGTCTACTGTTATAGCAATTCTGGTTTTGATGCCTAGAGATTAAATTTAAATCAGGTTTTCCTGCCCACAGATCTATATGATGATATGGGTTCTCCTTTTTTTTTACATATTTTGTGTAAAGCTGGGAAGGAAAATTATTAATACTTTCTTTAAGTGTCCTAAATCCATACAAGGTCTAGCAGCTGAAATAAATTAATGTTGAAGTCTTAAGAAAAGAAGGAATTGAAGTTGCTGACAACTGCAATCTTGAACTACTTGCTTTATCCTGAGATTATTTCCAGGCAAACGATATAACAACCAAACTAGTTTTAGTACCATGATCATTGGTTCTCTTGTGAGAAATTAAACCTCTCTGGACTCAGCTGGATTAGGTTCTGAGTAAATATACCTATTCCTCGAATTGTATGTGATCTTCTACATGTAAGCATTATTCCTTGATGATGGATTTTTTTCCTTTCCCATAAAACTAATTTATATATATAAAAGCAGTATTACTAACCAGTTCTACTGCCTTACTTTATCAAAGCTAGTTTGTAATGTATTTGGTTTAGTGTCCCTCGATGCTGATATTCCTGTTCTTGACCTTTACAGCAAACTGTCCCACCAGCCTGCGTTGCTGTTCCTAAGGGATCCATATGTCTTGCCTACAGCCAATGGTAATCAGACCTGTCATCTATTAACAGCTCTTTACTGATCTGCCCCATACCACAAAAACCACATAGTTATAAATGTATGTTGAGCTCAAATTCTAATAATTTGGCAATGCATCAGGAGTTTTTTTAATGCTGTTTATAGTAATTGCTGAGAAATGAACTTTTTTGCAGACAGCCCTCCTACAAATAAAAATTAAAAAGATATTGTTATCTTGGCTCTCCTACATCAATAGCAAAGCTCTTGGAAGTGAATTTAAAATGGAATGGAATCTTGTAGCACTGCTAATATTTTGATAAGAATTATAAAACAAATAGTTGGATGAAAAATCTTTTTTGTGTTCTTATATGTGTTATCTTTTTATTAGTTTACGATATTTCACATAATCTTTGCTAGTTTCCCCCACTCCCCAAATATTCCCAATATCCAGTGATATCATGAATTAGACTGTGAAGTGAGAAAAATTAGATGTCTCCAATACATCTTATCTTCAAACTAAGTCTTAAACTCCCTTCCTCTTTGAGGTATAAAATGTACTTGCTGTTGTGATTGATATGGGCTGGGACATAGTGCAAAAGAAAGGGTATTTAATTATTCACTCTTGTGATAGTTCTTTTGGTTAGATTAATCTTGCTAGTTACTGTTAACTGTGGAAAGTAAAGCCCACTGAAAAGGGCCTTTGGAAAAGAAATAGAATTTGAATTGGGATTATTAATATGTAATAATTGATTCTCTGGCTCATATAAAGTCCCTGTCCTTACCAAATCATGCTATATTGAGTGCTTTTTGTAAACTTAAGATTACAGTCAAACAGAAAATAAGGTACTAGCACAGTATAAAAATTTGTGTACAATAAAGCCAACTGCTTACTTTCTAAGATCCATATTTATATTTTTAATTTCTAGTCCATAAATGAAGAAATAAGAAATTACTTTGCATGCCACCATTTTAATAATTTTTACCTTGGAAATGTAAGAATCTCCCTACCCTTCTCCAACTTACAGTATTTGTGAATGGAATAGTTGAAGTGTTTTTCCATTTCAGGCAAGACCTTACTAAATTTAATTCATGTCATTGGATTTAAAATCCAGAAGACAATGAACAGCTGAATATTGGAGTAATATTAAATATAGGGGGTATTTCTTCATTCTAGCCATAAAAATTAAGAATGTATACAACATTGAAAAATATTATCTCTCAGCACCAAAGATAAAATAAACTTCAGGCATGTTTTTTTTAACTGAAATTTTCCTTCTTATGAATATTTTGTTTTAATTCCTATATCTGTTATAGTGATTGACTTTGCTTAACTTCTTTCTAGGGCTTTTCCCAAAAGTTCTTAAGTTCCTTTATTTTTTAAAACTAAAAACTTTGTCATTTTACTGCTCTAGAGATGTTTGTGCGACAGCATTAAGCCTCTTCCAGTCAACTTAGACAAAACTGTTCTGTAAACTATAGTGGAAAAACTGCTGCGGACTATTCCCAGTAGAAATCTTGGAATTCCTTCAAGTGTATTGAGATTTTTGTTAGAAATTGAATTGCCAGTGTAATCCATCTTCCTTGTGAGAAAAGATTCAGATAAAGAGCTGGAGCCTAGCAGCATTAAGTATTAGAACATCCCTTTAAATCAATAAGCTACAAATCTGGCAGGGCATTCAAGCAATGCCCAGTGCTACACTAAAGTGGGTTCCTGCTGAAACAGCATTACTAATAACAAATTCTGAGCACAGATAAAGAGGGTGCTGATGCAATATCCTAAATTATATCAGGCTTTGCCTTGTTAGGTTCTACAAAAACATTTATATTGTATTGACATATGTAAGAAAGCAGTTTTTCTTCTCTCTCTTTTTTCCCCAGATGACTTTCCAAATGTAGTTGTTGAAGGCATTCTCCATGGATTGTTTTATCCTCACCTACAACCCAGGTAGAAAATGGGTTTCAATGGAAAATAATCGGAGTAAATTCAAATTATGTTCCTCAATGCAAAGTTTTGGAGGCATTTTCTTTTTAAAAAGTAAAAGTCAAAATACTGAAGCATGACATCCATACACGAAGATGGAACTTTTGGGGATTTTTTAATTGTATCACTAAAAATGGCTGCTTTTCAAGATTATGAATGGGGGGAAAATGCTACTCGGTTGAGCCTGTATACTAAACTCTGAATACTTAAATTTTAAAACAGCTGACAAATGCCAAATTACACTAACTTTCATCATGTATTTATAATTTTTGTGTCGGTGATAAATCATTATCCTAATTCTTTTGTCTCAGCATTGTATCCACTGCTGGCAGCGGATACATAAAATATAATAGCATGTATGACTACAAATGTAAGTTAAAAAATAACTACCAAAACTGGAGATGCAATATAAGCTCAGTGTATCAGTATTTCTGATGTTATATCACATGAGTATTATTTTAGGAATAGAGATGGGTATATTCTAGCAGTTTGGTTCAGTTTTAATTTATGTGATAAACTCAAGTGCAATGCTTTTATTAGCCTATGCTTAATATCATTTTGAAAATTTAATGTCTAACCTTTTGTAATAGAAATAATAATGAACATGATTAATAAAAATAATTAGCCAGTCCAAGGGCAGTTCAACTTCACTATCCTTTTTACAGCTCCTGGAATTTCCCCTAATTTTATGTGCTAAAAATTGAGCAATTTTCCGAAAGTTTGAGATGGAAGCACATAAAAAATGTACTCAAAACTATACCAATATACATTAACATAATTTAAGAATAAGAAACCATTAGCAGACCAGAGGAAAAAAATGAAAATAATGCTTCTGCCCAAATGTATGTTAAAAATCTGTCAATTTTAATTTCATCCCCAAAGGTTTGTCTATACTATCAACTGTGCAAATGAACATTGTTTCTCAACATGTGAAATTCAGAATAAAACCAAAAACACAGTGAAATAATGCACGTCTCTAAAAATGCTAATTTGTTGGTCATATGTCCATCCACCACTTTGTCAGTTTTGAGTATTTGTGCCGTAGCTGGGTAATATTGAGGATGGACCTGTAACATACTACACTGTTTAACATGGGGGATTCATGTCTAGTATAGCAATTATTACTCTGTGCCAATGGGTAGTTGGCATAGCAGAGCATGTTCTGGTTATCCCCTTCGAATACAGTTGCAGTCAAAGGTGTTTTCGTATCTCTCAGTTGTCCTGGCAGATCATTCTTGGGGCAGCGTTAGATTGGCCACTGGTATGAACTTTAACCAATGTTAAAATGACTTCCTGTGCCATTGGGGATTTTCCATCTTCTCTGTCAGCGATACTGTCAAACCTTATCAAGCAGTAGATATTATTGCTCAGAGAGGCAACAGCAGGTGCAGACAGTACATTCACATCCTCTTCAAAGCAGCTTTCCTGCCTTGGCTCCAAATACTGTGAACCTGTCAAGAAGAGACTTCTTAAAAATACCTTCATTTTTTGAAGTCCATTTGCCTGTTACCCAGGAGAGAATTTTCTCCAATGCTGAATAAAATTCAATTCCCCGTTTCGTTCAATCCCAACATTTTTCCACTGTCTTAAAACAAGTCTAGACTTTTATGATCAAGCCTTTCATTCTGAATTGGTTTAATAGTGATAGATTCATGTTTTTCTCCTTATTGTTAGCTGTAATGAATATGGGCAGAAATATGGAAAATAATTTATGACAATAAATGATACTCTTGTCTTCATTTATATTATTACTATTGTGTTAGGTATAGAAAATGAAAATATATTTACATCTTTTAAAACTAATTGGTCTGGATTAGTAAAAAAATATGCATGACAAAATAGAGCATTGCTTAAAACAGGTGGTTTTCACCGGTAGTTTAATATTTGTACATAAGGTAAGTAAACAAGACTTAAATGATAAAATTATAAAAATATGTAACTATAATAATGACATATTTTGCATTTTGACAAATTCAAACCAAAATTGGAAATGAAGTATTTTAATAAATGATATCTATGTATTGTTGAAAGGTATTTGTTATGTCAGTATAATTTGTTCAATTACATAGTAATTCTTTCTTGTCTATTTTCATATTAATAAATTAGGAAATCCACACAATATGTGCTAAAGAAGTGCCAGTTGAATTAGGAAGGTTTTTGTTCAGTTTTAAAATTACTATGCAAAGACATTAAAAATATTCATAAGACAAATGCTAATAAACAAAGAACAAGGGGCTATAAACAATTGTAGTATATACTGTAAAAACATCTCCGTGTCAATCTCTTTAAATCAACACTTATGAAATGTTTTACCCTAGAAAGGCAATAGCATAGCATTTCTTCATTTAATACGCACGTATTTTCTGTTACCTGCAAGGTCAAGTTGTACAGCTGCAAAGTATTTTCTGATAGAAGCCTCACACAATGATAACCAGACATGATTGCAGCTCAGTTGCTCCTATTTCTGTCAACTTCTCCAATCATCTACTTCAACCACAAAAGGTTCTTTTACATCTATTTTTCCACTGTTAATGATCATACAGTCCTGAAGAGGCTGGTCATAGTCATCTGTTGCCTGAAGTTCAATATCATGTACTACGGACTAAAGAGAGTGTGGCTTTTAATGAAAAGGAAAAACTAGGTATGAAACACAACAATAAATAAAACAGGTGCTACATTCTAAATTTTGTGATATTTTTCACTTTGGAGGTTTTAAATCTACATGCTCATCACCATGCAATCTATTTTTCTGTCCTAATTATTTCTACAACAAAGTAAACAGAAAGAAAGGGAATAAAAAAAGAAAAATAAAACAACTCCTTTACAATAAATTCCTCATTTCAAAGTTGTTTACATAAATGGCCTTTCAGTCAAAAAATCAACTCTGCATCACAGCTATGATCAGATGTAATGATAAGGCTTACATTCTAGAAGAAACTTAATATGAGAGAAAGCTGTCTCCTTTGCTGTAGCTCTGTACAACTTCTGAATCATTAAAAGAATATAAACACTATACGACCTACAATCTTATTGACAAATAAAACTAAAACCCTTCTTGGTATTTTGCAAAGGGAAGAAGGATAAGAAATTCTTTCTTGATTATGAAAATAAAACAACAGGTAATTATCACTAACTAGGAAATTACACAATCCTTGTTCCATCAATAAGATGCTTCTAAGCATTGTTAACTTTTCATTGGAAGTATGCAGTTGATACACTTTTAGAACCAAAGAAACTTACACTCAGAACAGTATTCTATTTCTAATAAATAAAACCATTTAAGATTTCACCCACCATTCCATCAATGACTTTTCCAAATACTACATGTTTTCCATCTAACCAGCCAGGCTTTGTTACAGCAATGAAGAACTGGGAGCCGTTAGTGTCTGGGCCGGAATTAGCCATGCTGACCCAACCAATGCCATAGTGCTTCAGTTTGAAGTTTTCATCAGGAAACCTATCTCCGTAGATGCTTCTTCCTAGATGAAAAAATACTGGTTTTCCTCAGAAGCAAGGCTATTAAAAGCATTGTTTAGAAAGTTTTACAATACAGGACTCTCACTGGTAGAGCTATGCAAAATGTATTCAACAGTGTAGTCAAATTAGCTTAAGGGAAATCGCTGCTAAGCAAACATTTAACAGTATGAGTAGATAGATATATGTGTGCAGATGTGTGTTTTAATACATACTGCATGATGTATGTACAGGATGATGCCCAGTTCAAAACTTTTATAGTATGTTATATTTAAAGAGAAATGTTTTTATTATTATAATATGCCATAGATAGATGGGTGGGTGGATGGATGGATGGATGAACAATAAGAGTGCATATGATATAGCTTGTTTATTCATTTATTTATATTTCATTGCTGTAGCCTTCCATCTCAATCAAGTGACTCTGACAGCAAACAGTGCAAAAACAATGAAAAACTGTCAAAAATAAACATACACAGCAATCAAGAGAATTATAACAATTGTCAGTAAAGCCAAGAAATGAGGCCCTTAATTCAGGACCAGATGGCTATATTTTTAAAGCCTCATGACAGGCCAATAAAGTTGAGCCTATTCTAATCTGTGAAGGATGGTCCAAAAGGCTGGGTCTACAACAGTCAAGACACATTTTCTAGTATTTGGACCTGGCAACATGAATATTTTCTTTAAAAAAGCAGTGTTACCTCCAGTGCCATCTCCAGCTGTAAAGTCACCACCTTGAATCATAAAATCTTTGATTACGCGATGAAATTTGCTTCCTTTATAACCAATTCCTTTCTAGAATTTAAAATGACACAGTTGCAGTTCAGCAAAGTTACTACAATTAATGATGGATGCAATTAAATATTTAACAAGACAAGTAGATTTAAATGAGTGGGAAAAATCAGAACATCCGGTTAGTGATAGTCAGATCTACCCACCCAAAGCTTAATTTTGACCAACTCTTTCTATATGAGATTCATTATTTTTCATCATTGTATTTTATTACATTTGGATGGCCGCTTGACTCTGTTACTTGGTAAATTGAATGCTGTGCCTTTGAACAGCCAACACTTTTCTCAAAAAGGTCAGATCACGGTTCTTTCAGTAAGAAGGGGTTTGTTTCCAAAAGAGGCCACCCAAAATCAACATTTATAATATTATAAACATATAATGATACTGCTGCTTGATGCTATGATGTATGATCTCTTTAGATTTTTTTTAAAGATCAAGCTCTAGAAAGTTTGAATTTTTGAATGACTGTTGTATAACTGCTTGTTTGAGACCAACAAAGGAGAACATTTGTAGCTCAGGGTTGAAATGAGGGAACCTTGGTGCTCTCTGAGGTTGTTTTCTTGCAGATGTTTCATTACCCAAACTAGATAATATCATCAGATAATATCATCTGATATTACCTAGTTTGGGTAATGAAACATCTGCAAGAAAACAACCAACCTCAGAGAGCACCAAGGACCGCTGCTTGTTTGAGAATCAAGTATGGGAACAAAACCTAATACGCACTCCAGACTGAACAACGAATCCTGCCATCAAAGAAAATCTTAGCAAATAATTATCTAGAGCAAAATCTTGAGAATTTGGGCTGGCTGTGTTGAGCAGCTTTTGCACATTCTAAGACTTCAACTTTTTAACTTCATATGTGTCTCTACATGAGGTCACACGAGACCCCCCCCCACTTTCCCACTGTAAATTTAGTACTGACAGATTTAGCTGGAGATCATCACAAGTCTCCAAACTTAAGAAAGATAAAAGAATTGTTCCTCACAGTAACTTGCTAAGGAACCCAATGCAATGACCAAATATGACAACCATTCATTGAAACTGAAGGGAAAGGCTTACTTTTTTTCTGATGATTATACTGCCATAACAAACCAGTTTCCACTTCTATTTACAAAGATTGAAATTTGGGGTTCGACAGACTAGCTTGCTATCCCCATGCATCAAACCAGTCAGGCCTGGACGATTTTCAAGACATCAACTCTGAACTGAAAAGAAAACCTTGAACTCTTGCTAGAAAATTATGGATCAGTCACTTCTAACATTAGATAAATAAGAACATTACTACTACTAAGCACATATATTTCTTTTCTCTTTTATATAAAAATTAAGCTTTTAAAAAAGCTCTTGCCTCTCCAGTTGCAAGTTTAATGAAGTTTTCTACTGTCTTCGGTACTACTTTTCCAAATAAGCCGATTACAATTCTTCCAGCATTTCTGTCACCAATCTGTATATCAAAAAAAACCTGGAAATTTTCAAAAGTGGAAAAAAGAATGTCAATATGATATATCATCATTAGGCTAGCCTATTTATATTAGTTATTTACTAGAAGATAAACAGCTGCATTCTAATGTGCTTTTCAGGATATAGAAGGAACTTTTCTAATCTTTGAGCAGCAAAAAGCTTTTTGGTTTATCATTTCTCCATATTTTCTCCCACTTCTCTGGACTATATTCATAGCATGGAGAATGTCCACTCTATCAGTCTCATGCTACCTATTTCTGAATGTAAAGAAATATTAGCTAAACTTGTTTTCCATCTTAACTATACATGTATGTAACCAAGGCTTATACTTTTATAACCTTCCTATATTATGACCTCAGGGCTGTGCTAGATGGATTACAAGTTAAGAAATATAACTATAAGTAAGCCATAGAGCCAAATGTAACAATTCCTGACTCCCTAACATAAATACTCTTCAATATCTAGCCATGCTTCCCAATACTCTAAGCTGTAAATCCTTTCCTTTATTTTTTTAAGTTTCTAATGAAGATTCAAAACTATGTGTCTATTCAGAACATTCAATTCTCACTGGACTGTGTTTGGGTAGTAAAGGGTTTTTTTGTTTATCCACTTAACAGAGTTTTAAAGAACAAACTTTTTCAAACTTCATTTGCATCAAAAGTTGCTATTTCTCAATGTTTCTCAGTGGTTCCATTTTGGTTCCTATCAGTAGTCAAGCTGTCCAAGTTCACTATTAAAGGAAAATGTCAGCCTTCAAGATTTTCTCCCTTTGCTTTGCATCTTTCGGCTGTCATAAGTAACAGGGGGAGGAGGGTGCAATGGTCATGGGAAGTGAGCTGGAGGTGTTACAAATCAGAACTGTATAAGCTGGGGGAGTAGATTCTTGCTTAGGTTTCTATCCTATGCTATGTGCAACTGCAACTCTTTATCAAAATATGTCAAGGTCAACGGAGACATGCCTCATCACCACCTGGAGATACCCACATGATGATATACGCAACTTTTAATTGGATGAGCCAATTGAACTATTGGGGGTGGAAACGTTGCCATTGCTTTGTATAGGTGATTTACGCACCCATTTTCTCAGATTCAGAATTCTTTTGTTGCTACTACTTGATTTCCAGGTATCTTTTCTCTGATTAAAGAAGTCTAAGTATTTCTATCTTGGATTTTGAATGGAGCACCAGCTGACATTATTCTGAATCTCCCCATTACCAGCCCACCCGGAGAATTAATAAATTTTCTTCCGAGGGGATCTGAACACAATGTCAAATCCAGCCAGCAACCAAGAAGACCTGGGAGCAGCTGGAGGACAAGATTCTTTGCTGTTAGAGGCAGCAGGGAAGCTGACTTGTTAGCAGAATTAAGTCTTGGCGAAAAACCCAAATGGTCTCTGGGAGTCGGCTGGAAGGATCCTGAGGAAAAGCCTCCTCCAGGAGTGACCACTATCCGTCAGCGTGGAAGAGAGGAACCATGGCAAGAGAAGGAAAGGAAGAATTTTCTACTAACTCAAGCCTTGCATCTTCTAAATGAAGCTATCGGAGAACCTCAAACTGATCAAAGGTATGAGGGAGAGAAGGGGGAGGCAACCCCAGCCAGAAGAATTAGAGCAGCCACCCCATAAATCAACCTGGGCTAACGCAACAGGCGGCAGCAGCCCAGGGGCCCCCAGTGGGGGGGAGTAATTGCCAGAAGACGTAGAACTCCAAAGGTGCCTCCATTGGAAGAAAATATGGGGGGGAGGGATCCCAAGGAGTTAGGATTTTTCCAGGTACAAGTCTGGAGTCATATAGAGGAATATGGAGGGGATTTTTCCTCAGAACCAGCCAAAATTAGATGTGTTACCAGGGCTCTGGAGGGAACAGCTGCAAAGTGGATAGTGACTTTGCATAATGATAATGCCCCTCAGCTAATGAATTATGATCTGTTCATGACTGCGCTGCGGGCCAGGTTTGAAGACCCACTTGCTGAACACAAGGCCAGGATTAGGATGAAGACCATAAATCGGGGCAGAGATCAGTGGCCAGCTACACCCAGAAATTTAGAGAGCTGGCGTGTCATATTCGAGGCTGGTCCCAGGGAGCCCTGATAGAAGCCTTTAAAGAGGGGTTGAATGAAGAGGTATATCAAAGCTGTATTGCCAGAAGAGACCCCAGTGAGCTGCAGCTGTGGTACGTGCTGGCAGCAGAGGTGGAAATTGATCTGACCTGAAAAAGACGCCGGGGGGCCTTGGTTGGAGCAAGTCCTCCCCCATCAGCTCTCGATAAGCCTCAAAACCTCAAAAGGGAGGAATGGCAGCAAAACCCAAGACCACTGCATGCTTCCGATGTGGGAAGGAAGGCCACCAGGCTGCAGACTGCTGTGGCAAGCTAGAGCCAAAGGGGGCGCCAGGAAGAGGAAGAAAACTTGAAAAAAAAACCAGCAAAGCCTTACGAAACGGCACTTAAAGTAGAGGAGGTTTTAGAGATCGCCCCTCCGAAAGGAGAGGAGCTGGGACCTCCCAATTTCCTCTGAAGAGAGTGAATCTGAATCGGAAGACAATTCACTTGTAAGTCCAAACAAGGGCCCTATGACCATTCCAGTGAGATTAAGGGTACCCACATCGGGAGCTAAAGGGGAAATGCTGGCCTTGTTAGACTCTGGGTGCACAAGGTGGGTAATCAGCTCGGAGGTAGTAGAGAAAATGGGCTTAAGGCTCAAGACTTTAAAAACGGCCATAGCCTTTTGCCAGCTGGATGGATCGGTAGATGGGGACGGCCCTGCACATTTCATAACGGAACCAATAGAAATGACGATGGAGAAGCATAGAGAGACTTTGTGTTTTGTGTCTCCTGGGATGGAGCGCCCCCTAATACTGGGTTTGCCCTGGCTCCGGAAATGGAACCCTCACGTCGATTGGAGGAGAAGGTCATTGCGCATACATACTGACCAATGCCCAGAAGGGGAGGGGCAATCTCAACCGAAACTCAAGAATTCCACTGAGCTGGCCTCCACTGGCACCAGGAGCCTGAAGCGGGAGGAGAAAATTCCAGAGGAATATTGGGACTTAAAGGAAGTATTCAGTGAAAAGGTCTTGGATGAGCTTCCTCCCATCGCTCAACAGATTGTAGTATTGAAATTTTACCCGGGGTGAAACTCCCAAAACCGAAACTGTACTCGATGACACCGCAGGAGCTAGAAGAGCTGCAGTCATTTATCGATAAGAATTTGAGACGTGGTTTCATCCAACCTGCTAGACCCTGGGTAGCAGCCCCAGTATTGTTCCATGAAAAGACAGATGGCTCCCTTTGTTTATGTGTTGACTGCAGAAACCTCAACGCCATTTCGGTAGAGAACGTGTACCCCCTCCCCTTAATGAAGGATATGTTGGCCCACTTGGCCAAAGGGAAAATTTTTACAAAACTCGACTTGAGAAAAGCATACTACCGAGTTCGAATTAAGAAAGGGGATGAATGGAAAACTGCTTTTAACTGCCCCATGGGTTGTTCCCAATTCAACGTTCTTCCATTTGGCCTACAGGAGGCGCCTGCAGTATTCATGCAAATGATCAATCAGGTGTTGCATGAACATCTATACAAAGAGGTGTTGGTTTATCTTGATGATATTCTTATCTACATGGAGACTCGTGATGAACATGTGAAACTAGTGTGGTCAGTTCTGGAAAAACTTTGAGCTGCTGAGCTGTATGCAAAGTTGTCCAAGTGTGAATTCCACCAGGAAAAAATTGACTATTTAGGCTATCGCATCTCACATAATGGCATAGAAATGGATCTGGGGAAGGTTTGTGTCATTTTGGAATGGGCCCCTCCCCGCATCAGGAAACAACTCCAAAGTTTCTTGGGATTTGCTAATTTTTACCGTCAATTTATCCCTGCTTTTGCGAAGATTGCAATGCCTTTTGTAATCCAAGCCAATGCAAGTGACGTAGCAGTTGGGGCGGTTACCACAAGCAAACGAGACGGGGACTCTGCAACCGTGTGCATATACTTCCCGTAAACTAACTGAAACCGAAAGAAGACGGGCCATCTGGGAAAAAGAAGCTTTTGCAGTTCACTGGGCTCTGTTAACCTGGAGGCATTTCTTAGAAGGGGCGAAACACCCATTTGAGGTGTGGACGGATCATAAAAATTTGGAGGCTTTAAAAACGCCTCAGAAGTTGTCTCCCAAGCAAGTTTGCTGGGCTCAGTACTTTAAACGCTTTAATTTTTCATTGAAGTCCATTCCAGGGGAGAAGAACTTCATGGCGGATGCTTTATCTAGATTACCTCAATATAATACTGCTCGCCAAGAAGTAGTACGGCTTATTGTCCCAGCCAAACAGTTGGCAGCTCCAGTGGTTACCAGAGCCCAGAAGAAGAAGGAGGTTGATTTATCAAATGATTTGACTGCACAATTAAGAGATGCTCAAAAACTTGATGATTGGTTCCTTGCTCACTCAAATAACTATATGGTTAGAGATGGATTGGCATGGGTGGGGGCCAAATTATATGTGCCAGCGAAGCTGAGAAACCAAATATTACAGCAAACTCATGACTCTAAAGCTGCTGGACATTTTGGATTCGTGAAAATCTTAACAGTTGGTTAAAAGGCAGTTTTGGTGGCCTACCTTGAAAAAGGACATTGAGACTTATGTGGTTAGCTGTCCTATCTGTGCGTCAGCCAAACGGCCTCCTGGTAAACCAGCAGGCTTACTACAAAATGTGGCAAGACCAACGGCTCCATGGAAGGAAATTTCTATGGATTTTATAGTGGAATTACCTGAAAGTGGGGGGAATACATTTGGGTAGTAACCGATTTGTTTTCCAAACAAGTACATTTCATACCTTGTCCGAAAATCCCATCTGCAAAAACGTTGGCTAAACTGTTTATTTTACATATCTACAGGTTACATGGGCTTCCTGAATGCATAATCTCAGACAGGGGTGTCCAGTTTACCTCAAACTTTTGGAAGGAGTTCCTGAAGTTATTGGGCTCCGCCCAGGGCTTAAGCTCCGCCCACCA